GCAGAGGGAGATGTGAACAGGTGGCAGGACACAAAAGATCCCAGTACTGGAGGGAAAAGCCTGGGTCTTTCTCATCTTTACACCCTGTCAGTAGTCACTGTTATCACAGTCGATATGAAGATGAAGGACACAGAGCTATTTGGTGGATGCTTATTTAAATAAAGCCTTACTTCTTAGCCAAATCTAAGAGAACAACTCTGGAACTGAAAGAAATCCCAATGTGTTCAATCTTCCAGGTTTAGAGAAGGGCCACGTTTCATTGTTATTGCTTGTATCTAGATTGTGTATTCACATACAAAACAAGCACCGGTGTCTAATCACATCTTACACTGAAGCCGTCCAGTGAGTGGGTCAGATCAGTATAAGCCAGCGCAAGACCTCAAATACCTGAGAGCGCCACCAGAGGGCAGCCACAAGGCTCCCAGATGGAGGTTTTTTCCTGCTCTCTCACTTAAGGAGTGGCTGCAGGTTGCCTCTCCATCCTCAACCCAGCTAGAGTTCTTTTCTCTCTTTTTACCCTGTAGGTAATGTGACCCCACAGAACCCAGGTGCCTAAGAGGAGGCACAGACAAGTCACTCTGACTGAATAAGTGTTTGCATTTAGCTTTGACTTGAAGCGAGAAGCAATGTTTCACAGGGCAGACCCTTGAGACTGTGAGGAGGCTACTGGCGGGGAGTCCTGTGGCTAGCATGGCCAGTGAAGCTGTGGCAGGCCAGGAGGGCCATGGAAAAGGGGAAGTAGAGAAGCAGCTCTCTGGTCTCCCCAGGGTACCCCTCCTCAGTGTCTGCAGGTCTGTCTCTAGAGAACGGTGGAAGTCCCCATTCTTTCTTGGAGATGGCCCAGCCCACCAGTGTCCTGCAGAGCAGAAGCAGGTTCCTGCTGTGACAACTGAGGACTGGAAATGGGGCTTTGGGACTCCATGGGCTGACATCAGGGGAAACCAGTGAATCTGGGCTGAAGGGCAGGGCCTCCTTTGAAATCTCTTCTTTATGTTATTTTTTGAGATTTTATTTTTCTTCAATTTTCTTAGTAATTGTTCATTTGGAAAAATCCTGGCTCATTCTTTTCTAAACAAAGGGAAAAGGATGTTTTCAGCCATGCAAATAGAGCTGGGTGGAGACAAGAGGTATTCTAGGCAGAGAGCAAAGTGCCTGAGAGGCCAGGCCAATAGTGTGTGTGTGTATGTGTGTCTGTGTGTGTGTGTGTCTGTGTGTCTGTGTGTAGGATAGGACTTCTCACCTATCTGTCTTGAAGGACCTGTTTTTCTTTTTTATTTCCAATTCATTGCAGGCCTATATTTTTGTAGAGACAATAGAATAAAACTACTAGAAAAATGAAATTAAGAAGACATACAAAATACAAGCCCTGATTTTTATGATTGTATTAAACAAACATAAAATTACTTTGTCAGGTTGCTCTAAAAGCTTCTAAATTCTTGCTTCAGTTTTTCTACTTAACTTGTCATGGACTAATAAAAATCAATTCACAGACTGGAACGAGGCTGTGGACCACACATTGAGTATTACTGGTGTGGGGCAGGGAAGGTGGAGAGATAGGAAAACTCAAGAAGGAGGTGGACTATGGGGACATCTGGAAGGGCTGGTTCCTCCCAAGTCTCCATCATCAGTTTTCCTTCATGAGCTGTCTTGTCTATGTTTTTACTTTTTACAAGGGGGCATTATTTTATAGAGAAAGTGGCAAGGCCTTTGTTTCTGCTGGTACACCCTGACTGACCCGTGAGAACCTTGAGCTTCTAGATTACCTGGCTTGTGCTTCTCAGTCCTCCCAGGGGGGTCTCTGATTATTGACAAATGGGAGGGGCCCTGGGGTATTCTGGACATGGACTGGACATCTATGAGAGAGAGGAAGAGGAGGATGAGGAAGAGAAAGATGAGGATGGGGAGGGGTTGAATGTACTCTGATGAAATTTATATCTTGTAGGTAGACCAATGCTTTTTAAACTTTAAACTTTAATGGGTATATACATTGCCTGGAGATGTTATTGAGATGCAGGTTCTGATTCAGCAGGTCGGAGTTGAGTTTGGGCGTCTGCATTTCTAACGAGCTCCAAGGTGATGTCAACACAGCTGGTCCAGGGGAGATGCTAGATGCCTGCAGCTTCCACGGTGCCAGGAGATCCCTGATCACACTAACATCTCCTTCATCAGCCAGCTGGGTGGGGTCTGATGCAGTCCAGCATCTGTAAGCTGAACCTTACTTTCTCTGCTTCCAGAGCAGGGGCCTATAAAGCTGGAGCCAGGGCCTCATAGGAACAAGTACAACCAATCCTTTATTGACCACCCTCAGTCATCAAGGAGTAAGGACTCCTTGAACAAACCAAATCAAACTATCAGGTATTGCAAATCGTTGATATTGATGAACAATATGAAACCAATTGATAGACCTCTATTAACAAAAAACTAGATGCTACAACCATATACCTTTTTAAACAAGTAAGGGGTAACTGAGTTTTCTGATGTACTCCACATACCAGGGCTTTGGGCAAGCCTCAGTTCTGTCTTTGGTAAACTGGAAGGAATTTGAACAGGAATGGGGCTGTGTGGAAAGGCAGAGCTCTCAGTGCCTGTGAGGCTCTGGCTCTGGTGTCAGGATTCTATGACATTGTCTGGGCCAGGCGCTTTTCTGGCTGACCTTGGTCTTGCTGAACCTCTGAGAGGCTCCTCAGCCCTGCGGTCACTCATGGGCTCAGCAGCAGCTTGGAAGCTGGAAATGCATTCAGAGCTGCCCTGGGCTTAGCCCTCTGGGGTGTGGAGTGATGCTCTTCCTTTTGTTATTTTTAGTTTGAGAGGTGGGGCATATCCATTATATAAAACCCTTAATTAAAAAAATTTTTACTGTCATATCATTTTTTCCTAAGAAGAACAAATTACTTGTTTAGTATTTCAAACACATGTAAGAAGGAAATGACAGGTTTCTTCCACCCGCATGGCGCTTTCACTGATAAGCCCACGGACAGTCCTGGCAGTACCACGGGCTGTTACTGTCACTGGACCACACTGTATTTAGCGCTCACGAGAAATAGCATGCAGGCAATAGTATCAACAGCTATAGGTAAATTTAAAAAACAAAGCAAAAGATAAAACAGAAACAAAACCAACTCTGTAAACTCCAGGTTCACCTGGACTGTAACTTCTCTTGTGACTTTCACAGGAAAGGACAACAGCAACAACCACCAGACCTCCAGGGTGTTTAAAAAAATCAAATGGTGCTGCACAGCCAGGCCCCGCTCAAGGATGCCAGTGCCATCTTGAACACACCACCATACAGTATAACCACCTTCAATCACTGGAATTGTGTCTTATGTAACCAACTAGCATGTGGCATTGCAACCTTAAAATGATCATGTGGACACCGAACAGTGGTCAATGTTGTCTTAAAAAAACACCCGCCTCAAAGACCACGCAATCCTGAAAATCTCACCGCAGCATCTCTCAGACTGTAGTCGTCAATATCCCAAGAACTGACCTTTAAGAACAAAATAGAGAGAGATTTGAAATGTTTTCCTATTCCTCTGAGAGAACAATGTTTCAGGGTAAACCTGGTGATATTTCCTGCTGGCATAACCACTCGACAACAGTGCCCCTTTCATTCATTTCTTTTCCCTCTCCACCAATTGGCATTTGGACTGAGAAAGGGGCCAGCAACGAGACAGTAAGGCAAAATTACAATGTGAGAAAGTGTATTTGACTTTTTTTTTCTTTTTAAAATAAGTGCATGCAAATACATCTAGAAGCATTTCTGACTTGCCAGGTGCTCTGAAAGGGCAGCAGATGCTCTTTCTTTTCAGGGTCAAGGTAAGCATATTCAAAAGGACTGAGGACCATCATAGAAGCACATGTGCACACACACGTACCAAGTCGCGCATGAGTCACTTAATGACAGGGATGCATTCTGAGAAATGCGTTGTCAGGAAATTTCATCACTGTACAAACATCATAGTGTGTACTTACACGAAGCCAGATGGTATAGCCTATTACACACCTAGGTTATATGGTATAGCCTATTCTTTTCTTTTTTTTTTTTTTTTCATTTTCTTTTTTTGGTATAGCCTATTGCTCCTAGGCTACAAACCTGAATATAGTAGGCAGCTATGATACAACGGTATTTTCATAGTTAACATATCTAAATGCAGAAAAGGTACAGTAAAAATACAATATTAAAGATGAAAAAAAATATACCTGTATAGGACATTTACTGTGAATGGAGCTTGCAGGGCTGGGGTTGCTCTGGGTGAGTCAGTGAGTGAGTGGTGAGTGAACGTGAAGGCCTAGAACATTACTGTACACTACTGCAGGCTTTATCAACACTGTATGCTTAGACTACACTAAATTCGTGAAAGTATTTTCTTCGGGTCGGGCGCAGTGGCTCATGGCTGTAATCCTAGTACTTTGGGAGGCTGAGGTGGGTGGATCACTTGAGGTCAGGGGTTCGAGACCAGCCTGGCCAACATAGCGAAACCCTGTATCTACCAAAAATACAAAAATTAGGAGGGTGTGGTGGTGCATGCCTGTAATCCCAGCTACTCGGGAGGCTGTGGCAGGAGAATCACTTGAACCCAGGAGGCAAAGGTTGCAGTGACCTGAGATGGCACCATTGCAAATAGTAAATACATAAACCAGTAACATAGTTGTTTGTTATCATTATCAAGTATAGTGTACTGTACATAATTGTATGTGCTATATTTCCATATAACTAGCAGCGCTGTAGCTTATTTGTACCCGCATCACCACAAACGTGTGAGAAATGCATTGTATTATGATGTTAAGGCAGCTATGATATCACTAGGCAGTAGGAAGTTTTCAACTCCATTATAATCTTCTGGGACCGCTGTTTTGTATGCAGTCTATCACTGACTGAAACGCTGTTATGTGGCATATAACTATTTCATATATATATATATATTTTTTTCTATTTAAATTTTTTTTTTAAATTTTTAAACTTTTTTTGTTAAAAACTAAGACATAAATAAACACACACATTAACCTAGGTCTACATAGGGTCCGGATCATCAATATTACTGTCTTCCACCACATCATCTTGTCTCACTGGAAGGTCTTCGGGGACAACAACACACATGGAGCTGTCATCTCCTATGATAACAAGGCCTCCTTCTGGATACTTCCTGAAGGATGAGATATATATATATCGGGGGGAGGTAACATGCTTGTATGGAAATAAAATTTCTGTGGCTTCTGTGTCCAGTGTCACTGACTGACCCTAAGTGTGTGTGTTGGTGGGGGTATCTCCCCTCCCATTCCATTGGTTGGTCTTCTGCTAAGAGGGGAACCCAGGATTCAGGTGCTCCTGACCAGGACAAGGGCTCAGGGGCTCTGTGATGCTGGGTTTGGGAATTGAAGGAGCCCCAGAAAGAGTCGAGGAGCCCGCTGTCCCCCTGAGGAGCACTGGAGACTGGGGGTGGGCGTGTGTTGATAGGAGAACACCGTCACTAGCAGAGAACTTCCTCACAGTCACCAAGGGATTCTTGGAGGGTGTTTCTTATATTCACCTCCTTGGATGAAACCTCACTGGGCTGCAGGCATCTCACCTCTGCATAGATGGTAGAACTGTCCTGTGGAAGAGTTGGCTTAGGATGAGGAAGCAGATGTAAGACAGAGGGTGAGAAAGGAGCAGGGATCCCAGCTCACCTTTCTCTCCGCGGCAAACTCAGCAGGCCTGGCTGTGGGGAAAGAGTGAGTTCAGGTCAGGTCTCTGTGCTTCACAGATCCCAGCTCACCTTTCTCTCCGCGGCAAACTCAGCAGGCCTGGCTGTGGGGAAAGAGTGAGTTCAGGTCAGGTCTCTGTGCTTCACAGCAAGTACATCTCCTTCCCACCCCTCCTGGCTGGTTGTCTTCCTCTAGAGAGCCAGGGAAGCCAGCGGGGGAAATTCCTTTCACTCCTCCTCAATCTGGAATGGGGAGACCTGGGTTCTAGTTCCAGTTGGACTACACACCAGCTGTGTGACCTCAGGTCCTGGGGGAACTGCCCTTCAGTTAAGAGACTCTTTGATTGTTCATTTCCCCTACTGCCATTTATGGGAAGGAGCAGAAACCCTATGCCAATTCAAACCCATTTTTGCAGACTAGGAATTGAACTAGCAGAGCAGATAAGACATTAAAACGACAGCAACAACAAAACTCCCTGTTTTGAACATCTATTACATGTAGACAATTTTTAAGGTTTGTTTCTAGAACCTAGGTTCCATTCCTAACAACTTATAGTAATCCTGCAAAGCAGGCATTGTCTCCCCTTTATAGATTAGGCTCAGAGAGGACACCTGACTTGCCAAGTCCACAGTAAGTAAGTACATAGAGTCAGGTTTCAAACTCAGTTCTGAGACTCAGAAACCCAAACTCTTCCCATGATGCCACGTGGCCTATTTCTCTGTTAAAGGACCAGCCTTTCCCCCACCTCTGCCACCTGACTTTGATAGCTGTGGCTGGAGCTCATAGTCTTCTTGACTCCATCTTATAGTGAGGGCTGTCCTGCTTAGACTCAGACTCTGGAGCAAAGGAAGATTACATCATTTTTTCTCTCTTTTCTTTGTCCTTCACATTGCTCAGGAAAGGGCAAAAAACTCCCTGCAGTTATCATGGTAACAGTGGTGGAGGAGATGGTGTTGAGAATGGTGAATGTAGTGGTCATGGTGGTGTCTGTGGTGAGCGTGGTAGTGGAGGAGATAGGTGGTGGTGGTCATGGTAGCATTGATGATGGTGTGAAGGTGAAGGTGGTAGTGAAAGAGGAGATGGTGGTGACAATAATGGAGATAAATACAATGGTCTTGGTGATAGTGGTGGTGGTCACAGTAATGATAAAAGTGGTAATGACAGTGGTAGTGATACTTTCATTGTAGGTCCAAAACTTCTGTTCGTAAAAGTACCACGTTTGGTCTGAGATCACTCACCTTCACTCCTCTTTGAGGTTCTATGCACCACAGAGTAGACAACACCTTCATCTTTCTCTTTCTGGTGATGCACTGAAAGAAGGAATGAGGCTTAAATAGAATCCACCTGACTCTACCACCTCATGCCATAAGTGTCCTGAAAACATGGAGAGAAGCCCATCAGGGGCTCTGTTATGGTGATAAGTGGCAATGGGGGTTGGTCACTAATGTGGGGATAGCTATCATGGCAAGAGGAGTCAGGCCCCCTTAGCACTTTTTTTTTTTTTTTTTCCAGCTTCCCTAGCCCTGACACTGTTTAACCCAGAGGTTGACAAACTTTTTCTGTAAAAAAGGTAGTACATATTTTTGGCCTTGTGACCTGTATAATCTCTGTCACAACTATTCAACTCTGTAATATGAAAGCCCTCAAACAAAATAAACAAATGAGCATGTCTGTGTTACAGTAAAACTTTATCTACAAAAACAGGCAGTGTGCTGGGTTTGGCCCATGGGTCATAGGTTTGCCAACCCTTGGTCCAAACCTTCCCTGCCCCGTCTCCTGCAGCCCTGGCTCCCTTCCCACCTCCCTCTCCCACCACCAACTCCATAGCACTCTCTCCTCATGCCCTTTCTAGAAGCTGTTTGTTTTCCTTCCCCAGATGCCTCCAATTCCTGAGACACAGGGCTCAGGAAAACTCCCTTCTTACTTCCCTTAAGAAGTTCTTCTTGGCCCACATGGGCAGACCACCGTCCTGCTGGAAGTCCTTACCATTGGCATATAGTGGGCACTGCTCTCCACCTGGAGCTGGGGGAGGTATCTGGGATGGAAGGGGCCCTAGGAGATACAAAGGCATGATTCACTGGGTGTCCCTTAGAGGGCAGGTGGGACAGGGGACAGGAAAGCTGTAAACAAGAATGACAGGGAGGCCACTGGAGGTTTGAGGCCAGTTTGATTAGGAGGGCTAATTCACAGGTCTGGACATGGTTGATTTTTCTGGGATGTTTCCTTTGGAAAAATACCCTAGATGGCTCCATGGGAATCATAAACTAGGAGAAAGTAAGGTGAGCAAGAATGGATCACATTTTTGCTTTCCTCCTAGGAGAGGGCCTAGGCTTACCAGTCAAGCTGCTTTTCAGAAGGAAGAAAAGCTAATAACTTTGACCATACACTATATGCCAGACATGGGGCCAGGCAATCCAAATAAAATATAATCTTCCTAGTAAAGCACCTAACCAGTGACCAGCACATAGTTGGATTTCAAAAACACCTCTCTTCCTAATTCTTTGGTATCTAATATTTTTCACAACCATCTTGCAAAGGTTGATATTTTTATCTCCATTTCATAGATGAGGTGACTGGTGCTGGGAGAGGTGACTTATATAAGGTCACAGTAAGTGGTGGAGACAGAATCTTAATCCAGGTTTGTATGCCTTTTCTCCACTAGCACACTGCCTCTGGAACAGCAGGTGCTTCCAGATCTTTAAAGGTAACTCTTGGGATAGGAATTGGGTCACATGTAGATTTTAGAACAGTTGGGTCATGCCTGGTGCCCAAGAAATACTCATTACACTAACAGCTAGAAAGCATCAGAATCAGCGGGTAGGATATGTGGAAATGGCTTCTCCTGTAAAATCAAGAGGGGATTTATGGAGACTTAGACAGATCCCCAGCGATTAAGCATTTTCCAGTGCTCATTTGTCAGGGCTAAGAAATGAGCCTCAGTTTCTGAGTCTCCATTCAATGAAGAGTTCCATGAGTTTGATAGAACTTTATTTTATGGGATGTGTGACAACAGGTAGTAAAAGGAATGCTTTTAAACAAGCACAGCAGAACCTGTACATGCAGGTGAGTGCTACTTTGAAGTGGACCCCTTGCATGACCATATCCTTGTTCCAATAACACCATCATTGGTCAAATGTTCTAAAAATTGACTTTGGACATTATATCTGTTGACTGTGTTTGGTGGTGGCATATTTCTCTTTGTTAAAGAACAGCTATGATATTTGGAAATGGTTGTGAGTCTCCCAGAGCTGGATTTGGAGAATAAGGCTATTGATCTGGCTGTTTTTCCTGCGTAGCTATGGAATTGGTCCTGAAAGTGACTTTCTGAGCAATATTCTAGAGAATATTTTGTGCGCCTGAGATTCTGACATATTAAGATCACCACCAGCAGTCCTGTTTGCATGAGAGACAGGCTCCTTAGTAAAATGAAGCCTACCTGCTCCAAGGTTGGCAGTGGGTGTGGTGGTGATGGTCTATAACCTCTACATCAAGAGGATGCTCTTTTGTTCTCTGTGAAAGGCATCTTCTTCTTGAGGATCTTTCAATAGTGGCCACTGTTTCACCATCTTGTTTGGGGCTAGGGAGGGAGGCAGTTGTGCTACATTACTCTGCCATTACTCTGCCTTTAATGCTTTGACTCAGAGGTGAGTGGACAGAAACAGAAACACCTGTATTACTGAGGCCAGGCTAGGCCATTTGGAGGAGACTTCCTTAGACACAATGACAGTAGAACTCACAGATCTTTGGTTTGTGGTTCCCTACTTCAGCTGTCTCCCCAATAGCTCTGGGTCTCCTCTCCTTTTCCCCCACTAAGAAGGGATACTTAAAGCAACTCTAGCCTGTAGTGAATCCAAACTCAAGACTAGTGAGAAGGGTGGAGATGGGAAGTTGTATGGACAAAGACTATAAATTCAAAAGGGGAGAGGAAGTTGAAGTCTGGTCCAAGCCCTAACTAGGTGCCTGGTGAGGCAGGGTATTGGGACTAGGGTTGGGGAGAGACCCTTTCAGGTACCCTGGTGGATGCAGGAAGGAATGCCTTGAACGTATGACTGAGTGGTCTTCCTTAATTAGCAGGATGGCCTAGCTCCTGGAAAACTCGTCCCAAATTTCTCAACAGAGGGAGCTGCAAACTTAAATAAGTACATCTGTCTTTGGAGGTCTATGAGAGCAATCACTTTTGTCCCAGACAAGCAGAAAGTAAAAACATTGCCCCTGCAGAGGAGGAAGTGGTGTTGAGTTGAACCTCTGTAGGCAGATTTGAAGCCCTAGGAATGAACCAACACCAGATAGCTTTGGCACTGGTAGCCATTCCTTACATGTGGCCTGAGTCGAGCAAAGGTTAGAGTTGGAATAAACGTGTGGCCACCCAAACTAATTGCTTTGAAAGCCAACATTCATTCTTATGATCACGACTGAGACAGGAAGAAGAAGAAAGTCTGGAATATCAAAATAAATAGATAATCTGAAATGTCGTTTATCTGATTGTTTTCCTCTACATCAGAATTTTAACCTACCTTTTTATTTTCAGTGACTTTGATTAGAAGCATTAGAGAATGCACAGAGGAGAAAGGGCAGCCTGGGAACCTGCTGGGGCGATCTGCTTAGATTAGAATGAGAATTTACTGAGCACCCACTATGTGCCAGTCTAAGCAGATCAGAGCTCTGCTTAGCAGAGCTCAATGAGAGAGAAAGGAGGAGGTCTTTTTTTTTTTTTTTTTTTTGTCATATTCCTAGCCACAGATTGTCTTTCAAATGTAAAGGATACTGACATACATCACGTTTGGCTTGTAATAGTTCCTTGGTTTATGTTCTATTCATGCCTGAGTGTGCAGTTGTGTGTTTGTGTGCATCTCTGGATGACTGTGAGCGTGTGAGCGAGTGCATGTGTGTATACGTCTTGGAAGCATTAACTGTCCTTCCATGTGCCCCTTTGTGTGACACAGGAAGAGAAGTCCCGCCTCCCACCCCACACCCAGGAGAAGAGAGTGGCTGGCCCTGTCAGATTCTGGCTTTCCAAAGGCTGGGCAGGGCCTCGCACAGGGATTCAGCAGCTAAGAAAGCCAAGAAGAGGTACTGACCAGCTTTTCCGCAGGGTCTCAAATAAACCAGAAGTGCAGCAGCAATGACCATCATGCCAAGCAGGCTCGCAGGCAGCCAAGGAACCAGCCAGTTGCTGCTGGTGGGAGTGGACAAGACTTGAGAACCTGGGAACGGGGAGAAGAAGCTGGCCATGAGCACTGAGGATAAAATTCAGAAATGCATTTCAGCCTGGCATGGAAGAGGCAGAATGACTGGTATTAGAGGAAGCATCTAGCCTGCGGGAGCCTCGTAGATGGGCATGAAGGATGGCTCAGGGGATGGCAGCAAGGATGATGGTGACACCATGAGTGACCAGGTGACTGCTCCCCCCATCATGCTCCCCACTCCATGGACTTCAATATTTCTCTGCCAGGCTCAGTGGACAGATGGACCAATTAAGGTCCGTGTTCGGTCATGCAGTGGCTGCCATGGGTCCAGCACTGTGCCAGGCGTGGTGGGAGGTACACAGAGGGTGAGATCTGACCCCCGTCAGCTTGCTGGGGCTCAAAGCTTTGTTGGAGGACAAAACGCACCCTTCAGAAAGAGCTTCTTGGGCTCACTCCTCTCTCTGGAGACACCGTTCTCAGCCTCGCAGGAGTAGTTCCCAGCATCCTGCTCTGACTTCACTGGGAAGAGGAGGGAGGCGTTTCCACCACAGGGAGCTGAGTGGTTCCCCACAATCTTCTCATCAAGGTAGAACAAGTACAGGACTGGAGGGGAGCCCCTCTGGGCCTCACAGAGGAGCTGCACCATGTCCCCCACAGCAGGGTCAGTGGGTCCGTGGTGCAGAGTGAGCACAGGACGGGACACAGGAGCTGGGATGCACGTGGGGTGGGAGGCTCAGCCTGACCACCCAGGACCCTGGCTCCCTCCTCTCCTGGGGACCTTTCCCCAACTCCTTTCCCCCCAGGGGATCCCATTGCCTGATGCCCAGGTCCCTGGGGGTGTCTCCACTCTCTCGCACACTTACCCTGCACTCTGACCTCCAGCTGGGGGCTCTGCTTCTGGACCTGGCCACCCTCGGTGGCCACCTCACACCAGTAAAGCCCAGAGTCTCCCTCCTTGACTCCTGGGACGCAGAGTTCTGGGTGAGGGCCCCTGTCCTGCAAGGTGTGGCTGTCCTTGTAGAAGGAGAAAAGGAGCCTCAAGGCTGACCTCAGGGGATGCAGCTTTGTCTGACATCTCAGGGTCACCAGGCTACCCTCTCGGGGCTCAGGAGAGGGGGCAGCACTCAGCACAGGAGGTGGGAACAGCTCTGGGGAGATGCAGGCCCAGGGCTCAGGAGGGGAGTCCTGGATGATGAAGCCCCAGGAGGCTGAGGCCTGAGCTTCTACTCATCCCGGGCTGCAGCCTGGGGACACCGATGGGAGGCAGTTTGATCCCCAGGACCTGTCCTCCCGTCCTCACCCACAAGCTCTGAAATGACTCCCACACAGCCAGGTCCTTCTGGAATCTTAGAAGTCAGAGGCAGAGGGGCCCTTCGAGGTCCTCTAGTCCACAGAGGGGAAGGGTGAGCCTGACTCTTCCCAGTGCCCCCGTTCCAGGAATCTCCCCACTCCTTCCCCTGGCTCCATATGTGCCCCACAGTGGGGAGAGGGGGGTATTGAGACAACATCTTGGGAAACCTCGGGGCCCCATTCATGGGCCCAGCATGAGGGGCAGCCAGAGACGGGGGTCCTGTCCAGAGAGCTACTGGCCTCTAGAGACGGGATCCTTGAGTGGCACCTCCTGCCCCACAAACTCCCAAGCTGGTGACTCACCTTGGACTTGAACCATGGCAGTCTCTGAAGTTGGTGTGAATATCTGTGGAATATACATCACCTGCCCAGTGCAGCTGTACTGGCCACGGCTCTGCACTGTTGCTGCTCCCATGGACAGAGTCTGGCTCTCCTTAGAGAAATGAAGGAATTTTCCATCTCTGTAGAACTTCACCTGAGACAGTGGTATATTCTTCCACCCCTGACACTGCAGAGTCAGGGCATCTCCTTCAAACACAGGGTTTGGCCAGGCTTGGAGGTACAGCCAGGCTGCGAGACAGAGGAACAGGGCAGCCCTGGAGTTGCAGGTCCCATCGGTCACTTCTCTCTCTCTGTCCCCCAGCCTAAGGCCTCCCTCTGGGGAGGGAGGCCCTTGGATGGCACCAGTGCAGTGTCACTGTCTCCAGTCTTTCATGCCGACCAGAGAAGGGCAGGACCTGGACTTCCTTTACTCCTTCTCCTTCCTTTCCTTCTTCTCTCCTTCCTCTTCCCTCTTTCTCTTTATTCCTTTCTCTTCCCCTCCCCTTCTCTCCTCTCCCTTTGTCTTCTCTCTGACTTTCCTCCCACCCACCCTCCTTGTCTTCCTTTATATTGCACTTTCCTGTCTGCCTTGCCAAGCTTGGCTTAATTGCATTCATTCTGTTCATTGTCTTGCCTCATTCCTCCTGATTCAATTCCCTCCAGCCTAGATTGGCTTCTCCTCCTCTGGCTACCTAATGTGACACTTTCTGCAACCTTCACTTCTGTTAATAGCAGCATCTGTGTTCACCAGAAAGCAGTTGGTGGGGAGTGTTGGAGGTGCCACAGCCTGAGCTCTCTCCCTCCTGCCTTCTTCATTGGGCTTCTCCAGGCCCAGCCTCCCTCTCTACCTCAGCAGGGCATTTCATCTTCCACCACTCTCATGGAAGGGATTTGTTCTCTCTGTCTCTATTCCTAAAATGTATTCTGTGCCCTGATGTGAGCAGGAGAAGAGCTCCCAGGGATCCACTATCACCTGCAGGGCAGCAGCATCATTGCCTGCAGGGCAGGCTGAGCCTGTCCTCAGTCTGTATCTGTCCCCAGGCTGTATCATATCTTTGATAAGCCAGACACCCCCATTCCCAGGCAGCCTTCTGAGCCATCCTGATGGCTTGAGACTAATGAAGAGTAACTGTTAGGGAGCCTCAGCATATCCTGCTCTTGTCTAGATCTTGTGGATCCTTAGGACCCACTCTCCTCACCCTGGAAGAAATGATGCTTACCGCATTACTGAATGGCAAGCCTTGCTTCCACTACTGCTTTTCCTAACAGCACTAAGTATTGGTTTGAATTATCTCCCCCTGGAATCACAGGGTATGTCCTTGGAGGTCAAGATTTCATAGATCAGAATTTTTTCCTGTTTGACAGAAAGCTCCATGGAGGTCAGTGTCACTGAATGGGCTGGAGGGAAGGGGATCTGAGGAAGGAAGGAAGGCTGATCAGCAGACAAATGTACCTGCTTCTCTGAACATAAAAGGAAGGAAGGGAGTCCCAGTCTTGTTGAGTTGAGAATATAAGAGCTCCAGAACCACATGGAGAGAAGACAGAGGCCATAGCCACTTTTAAGGGTATAGGATAGAGGCCTAGAACCCCACTGCTGAGGCTTGGGTCACCTTGGGACTACCCTCGGCCTTAGACTAGTGGAGTTCCAGGTTCCTCCTTTTCCTGGGAACTGGCCAAGACACCTGAGGAAGGGGCCTCGTCTGGTGCTGCTCTGCAGATGTTTCTGGGGGATCCCATGGCACTGTCCTGTTCCCATCCAGTAAGTTGTGGCCCATAGACATACTTTGAATTAGAAGAGACATGGACACAACTTACCAGTTTTCCCAACACAGGGAACTGCAAGATAACAAAGTAACATAATTAGGTTAAGTAGCAAAAAGAGCTTTCTGACAAGGAGGCCTGTCACTTCAGCAATTGGGACTTACACCCATTCAACCAACCACCCAGCCACCAAACCGCCCATCCACCCATCCACCCAACCATCCAACCATCCAACCACATAGCCACTCAACCGCCAAGCAACCCAGCCATCAGCCATCCAACCATCCAACTACACAGCCACTCAACCACCCAGCCACCCAGCCATCCCATCATCCAACAACCCAACCATCCAACTGTTCAACCATCCAACCACCCATCCACCAAACCGCCCATCCACCCATCCACCCAACCATCCAACCATCCAGTCACCCAGCCATCCTATCATCCAACAACCCAATCATCCAACTATTCAATCACCCAACCACCCAGCCACCAAACCACCCATCCACCCATCCACCCAACCATCCAACCATCCAACTATTCAATCACCCAACCACCCAGCCACCAAACCACCCATCCACCCATCCACCCAACCATCCAACCATCCAGCCACATAGCCACTCAACCACCAAGCAACCCAGCCATCAGACATCCAACCATCCAACTACACAGCCACCCAACCACCCAGCCACCCAGCCATCCCATCATCCAACAACCCAACCATTCAATTATTCAACCACCCAACCAGTCAGCCACTTGACTACTCAATGTTTATGGTGGACCTACTCCCTAGAACTCTTTGCTCTATCTCAGTTCAAATATTGCCTTCTCAAACACGTCTTCCCTGAGACTCCAATCAGAAGAATTTTCCCCAGTCACTAAAACAATGCCCCATTGTATTATCATCAAAGCACTTATCACTATTTGAATTTATCTTATTCATTAAATTGCTTACATGTTATCACCTGTCTGTCTGTCTAGAATGTAAGCTCCACATTAGCAGGGACTCTGCCTATCTTACTCATTGCTATATTTTCTATGCCTAGGACCTGTGCCTGGAACACAGTCTGTGTTCAGTAAGCATCTGCTGAATAAATGCACGAATGCTTTCCTTTGCATCCAGTTGTATGAGGTGGGAAGCAAAAAGTAGAAAACACAGGACTAGACTCTTGCACGAATGTGCCAGAGAACCCATATAGCAAGGGCAGGGCCTGATTCTTGTGGTCCCATCTGTCCACAGAACTCTGGTGAAAAGGGTACAGAAGTGATCAGACTGAGGAGGCCAAGTCCCCTGAAAGAGCAATCATCAAAGGATGTGAGACATTGTCAGGCAGCACAGATGAATAAGAGAACTACAAATAAACTGGATGCATCCCACATCATGCTTGCATCTTGGATGTGCTGCATTCATCCTTTTAAATGAGTGGTGTGAGAATAGGTAACCTGGGAAGAGAGGCCAACTCACAAAATGATGACAGATATGGTTAGGTAGGTTTGAATAACCCAAGTAATGGAAGACTCGAAATTGAAGGTCACAGCTGGATATGAAGCAGTGAAGAATCTTCCGGACGTTGGGGCAAGGTGTGAAACAATGAATGAATGTAGGGCTGAGTGCAGTCAGTCCAGCCAATCCTCATACATTTATTTGTGTCCTTCATTGCTGACATGTCCTAGGTATTTTGCATAACACCAAGAAAATGCAAGAATGGCCTTGGGAGGGCTGGGTGAAAACCCTCTAAGAGCAGATGTTTGGCTCTGTCACATGGTGTCATCTTTGTTTTCTACAATACTTTGGACGCAGATGGAATCTTTCAGCTCTATTCTCTATTCAGCTCAGGGTCAGCTCAGTCATAAGTTCTCAAGAGTGTGCAGAACAATGAGTCTCTTCCTCATCATCCCTCCATTTCCACCCCAACCCCCATCTATGAGCTTGGTGCAGTGGAAAGCATGCAGGATTTGGAATCAGATGACCTGGACTTGAGTCATGAATGTGACTCTTTCTGTATGACCTTGAACAAGTTGTCTAAATTCCAAGAGCCTTCAATATCTCGTTCTGTCATATCACATAATAGAAATGATAATAGTCATTTTTTTTTTCTTACAGTGTAGTTGTGAAGGTTATATTGACCCACTGCCTGGGAAAGTGGTTACTACACTAACTGAAAGCAGAAAGGCGGCCTGACCTCAGAGTGATAGAGACCTTACTCTGTAGTAATGCCTTCCTTCCCTTCCCCTCCTCACTGGAAAACAATTTTGCAGCTACAAAGTGCTAAACAAGCAGGGTTGAGGCCACTGAAGCCAAAAACAAGACAGAAGGCACCCAGGAAGCATAGATGCACTTAAAATGAGCTCATGCCCCCAAATCCCGATGACTTGCTGCCCATGGTACTGCAAGATCTTGGAGGTGGGATTACAAACTTGCTTTCTGCAATCAAAACAGCAGCCAACTGGGAACATACACAGTGGGTGACACCTGCTCACAGCAGTTTCCGCAATGAGGGCCCAGGGACCTCCATCAGCCATATAGGCCAAAGATGAGGTGACAGTATAATGAGGTGGCCGAGAGCTACTGTCAAACCAAGTTCCATAATAGAGTTCCAAAAAATGAAGGCAGCAGCCCCTGCCAACTCTAGGAGCAGGATAATTTCCTCTTAGAGTTTCTGAGGGATCGGGAGATATTTATCTGGGAAAGATACAACAGAGGAGAGACACAAAATACTTGGTGGGCTAAGCTTAAAAGAAGGGAGTGACTTATTCTGAGTTACTTTATAGGACAGAAATGGAAACTAGAGGGATCAGGGAGGCAGATTTCAGCTCACCATGAAGAACTCTGTCACCACTGAGCTCTACCACTGTGGAACAGGGTGCTGTGCCAAGCCGCAGCAGTCACATTGCTGGGAGCGCTGTGTGGGACCCCATGACACCTCCTGTGGACGCTGTGGGAGTATGCAGGGAGCAGGCTCCAGTGGTAGGAGGGAAGTTGGCTAATGTTCAGCTCAGAAGAAAATTAAGCTTAATTTCCCAAACTTTAAGTACATATTTCACGTTCAGCCAGGTCCCAGCATGCTCAATGTCAGGGTTCCTTTCCTGCTGGAGTCCTGACAGCCAATAATAGTAATAGCCACCAATTTATTATGACCACACCCTGCTCTTGAGAGAGGAAATAGCAGCTCTACATGATACATGTTTCTACACACCCAGCCGCAGGGCCTGTGATTTAGGCTGTTTTTCTGGGGTCCCTGATCATCACATGGGACCAAATGTGCTGGTGCTGGGTTCTCCATTACACTGTGCACCAGTCAGCCCGTCACCGACTCCCTTCCTCTCCTCCTTTGCTGTCTGTCATCCTTGTCCTGGGTTCCAAGCTGGAACACTCTCAGACTGTATCCAGACAACTCCAAGGGCTGTTCCTTTTACAAGGTAGTGCCATTTGCTCCTGTGAGTCTTGTGCCTGGAGTATATCCAGGCACTGCCTCAGTGTGAGCGTTAGACCTTTCCATTTGTCCAAATGGCCATTCATAAAACACACAGAGTAACACGCTATGCTGGAGAAGGAACATTGAATGGAACAGGCATTTTCCTCACAGGGTCAAATTCTCACAAACTCTGTCCAGGAAGAGGTTATATTTAGGAACAGTTTTGCTTTTCTAGTTCAATGAAAACAAACAGCAAACAAGCTATTGGGACCAAGAATTAAAAAGTAGGTCCACTTGGAAACTGTAAAGTGAAACAAAATATATGCACAAATTATTTCTTTTAGGTATAAGGGGGGTGATACTGGCTGAGACTGAGCTGGGTCTGGGGGAGCCCAGTCACCCTCCTCGTGCAATCCTCCACCCTTAGACCAGCTCCCTCAGTTACAAGTAACCTGCATGAGGAGGAATGGAGAGAAGAGAGAGAGGCATGGATCAGATAATGAAGCTGATTCTTCAGACCAGCCCCATGGGTCTGAAACAGCCTCCAACAGAGAGAAGATGTACGCGGAAGAGAGACGGTCAATTTGAAAAGGGCTTTGGTTACGCAGGGCACAGGACTTTCAACCAGGTGAGAGGTCTGATCATTGTTAAGTGGTTCTAAGAAAATGCTGAGGCTCCATAAAAATATGTCACCCTATAAAATTCCACCTCCCATTGCTGAGCAAAACGTCTGGGACTGTTATCCCTCATTTCCCTGACTCCTGCCGTGTTGCCCCCAGCGGCCTCTTTCCCTTCTGTAACTTCAATTTCCTTTTGAGACAACTATTATTAGTATTTTAACCTGATATCACAAGGTAGAAATGTCATTGGGAAGTTAGGGGACCTTGTAATGTGATTTTCTGCCTCCCTAATTTATCTCTGACGTATCAAAGGGCTGCCCTGCCAAGGACCCAGGACAATGGGATAGGAAACACTGAGGAGTTTCTCCTACCCCAGTGCCCATCTCTCCCAAGCATGCCCAGGTGCACGCACCTGTCTTGAGCTCCGGCCACAAACCCACTGGAATTGGAAAAGGTGTCTCAGGGATGACTTATGGTCCTTAGTGCTCTAGGAGGGGATGCCCAAGCTGGTTGACTTACCAAAGAGCAGCACAGCCATCCAGAGCAGCATGGGGCCTGTCCTGGCACAGAGGAGGGAACACAGGTCAGAAACAGGCTGGGTGAAGCTGGCAGAGAGCAGCCAGGCCTCAGGATCGAAGGTGGGTGAGTGACCAAAGTTGGGTGGTGCTATAGCTTGATAGTTGAAATAGGAAGTGGGAAAGAAACTTACAAAGCTCTAATTGGTATTTCTTCTTTGGCTGAAGAAGTATTACATGAATAAATTTTCTTGAACACTAAACCTGAAGGAGTCAGTAAGTCACTAATAAATCCCTGACATTTTCTGTGGCTTCAACAACCCTATGCCAGGGAACTAGGATGGAACATGGTTACGGGACATCTCCACTAGAAAGATCCAGAGACGGCCCGAATTTGCTTGTCCACAGCATCATTCAGCCTGGGAGGCAGCGCAGCACTGGAAAACTAAGATCACCCACCCCTTGACTCCCAAGCGACCTCCCAGCTTCCGAGGCGCTCCTATCTTCAGCGGTAAATGTTTGTGGACGCTGCAATTAGATGGAGAAGTGGAGCCCTGAGGACAGTTCACAGGATCCTCAGTTCAAGAAGGAATCAAGCATCGATGAGTATGGAGTAGAACACAGATGGAGCTTCGGAATCTGAGGCTTTTAAGACTGTCAGGTATTATTTTGAGAAGAACTCTTCCTTAAAAGACACCATTAAGAAAGGGAATAGACGAGTTGTGGTGTGATGAGATAGTTTAAATACATGCGGCTGACAAAGGGCCCACATAAGAAATATAAGAATTTCTGCAAGTCAATAAGAAAAAGACAGACAAATACTAGAAAAATGGGCAAAAATAATTGGATAGGTACTTCACAGAAGCAGATATCCACGTGTCAAATCAACATAGCACAAGGAGCTTGATATCATAAATCACTGTGGGAACGCAAATTTAAACCACAGTAAGATACCACTACACCTTCCGTAAGAATAAGGGAGTGATACCGGCTGAGACTGAGCTGGGTCTGGGGGAGCCCAGTGACCTGCCCCATGCAATCCTCTCCTGAGTATTGGTGAGGATGTGAAGAAACTAGAACTCTTGTACACCACCAGTGGGAATACAAATGGTACAGTCACTAGAAAATGGCTTGGCAGAATCTACCAAAACTAAACACAAGGATCCCTGATGGTTCAGCATTTTCACTCTTGGGTAGATGTTGAACAGAAATGTATACATACAGGCATCAAAAAACATGCACACGAGTGCTCATAGCAGCATCATTTGTAATAGATACAAACTGGAAATTATTCAATGTTCCCTCAACAGAGAAAGAGGTCCCACATTCCCATCTCCTCTGTAGACAGAACATGAGAGTTCATGGTGAAACACGGAGTCAGGCAAAATACTAGGAAGCATTTTCTTTCTTTCTTTCTTTCTTTCTTTCTTTCTTTCTTTCTTTCTTCTTTTTTTCTTCCTTTCTTTCTATTCCTTTCTTTCTCTTTCTTTCTTTTTTCGTTCTTCTCTTTCTTTCTTTTTCTTTCTCTCGTACTCGCTCTCCTCTCTCTCTTCTTTCTTTCTCTTTCTTTCTCTCTCTCTCTCTCTTTCTCTCTTTCTTTCTCTTTATTATTTAGAAGGAGTCTCGCTCTGTTGCCCAGGCTGGAGTGTAATCTTGGCTCACTGCAACCTCCGCCTCCCGGGTTCAAGTGATTTTCCTGCCTCTGCCTCCCAAGTAGCTGAGATTACAGGCGTGAGCCACCACGCCCGGCTAAGCATTTTCTTACGGTAAAGTTATTCCTGGAAATCTTTAAGTGAGAAGTTCTACACATGGAATTTGATGGAATTTGATGTGCTTATTGCTGAGGCCAGGGATGGAGAGAGAGAATTTTCTAAGTTTTCTTGCCCTAGATTATCTGATTCAGTGGAAGTGGGAAACTAATTTGACACTGCCAGGCATTTTTTTTTTTTTTTTTTTTGGTGACTCAGTTGTTTAGGAAAGAGGTAAAAGTAGTGAGGAAGTAAAGTAGGAAGTAAATCTCTTGTCCACTCACCTAAAGATGGCAACATTCATACATTTTCCTCTATCATTCTCTTTCCAACAGATCTCCTGAGTTGTCTCCAGCTTCGTTCAGCTGCAGGTCCTGTGATTGTGTGGAGGCCCTGCAGGGCAGCAGCTGGGGCAGGAGAGAGAGGGGATAACCGCAAGTGGTCTAGCTTGCAAACACCTACGGTGGTTTGCACACAGAATGGTTGACTCCTCTGCCCTGGCAACTTCTGCTTTCACTGGGTTCTAGCAGCATGAGAGCGTGAACTGCATCTGACCTTTCACACTTCCCTTGCAGAGTGAGATGCTGTTGCGCCTTCAGAGGTATTGGTGAAACCAGCTCTCTGAGCTGAGCTGAGCTGGCTGCATGTCATTCCCTTGGGGATGAAGGTGACCCTCGGGGAGCAGCAACAGGGCTGCTGCCCAGGTTAGGAATCTTCCAGGACTCAGGTTGACCTTGAACTGATAATGGGATGGGTTAGCGGAGATATTAAAACCCATGATACTAACACTAATACTCTAAGGGAATTCAGGGGCTAAAAGGAGGTGGGAGGAAAATAGAGTGTGGATGAGGATCCAGAAGAGGAGCCAGAAGAGGCTCCAGGCCCAGGTGCTCTCATCGCTCAGAGTCAGTTGTCAGGGCGGCATTAGTCAGGGACAATGGCTGTTGGGGAATAGGATAAGTCATTGCAGCTCCCAGAGGCGAGAGGGGAGAGCAGGAGAGCTTGGGGTAGGAGGACAGCTCTGCATGGTAGGCCCTGGAGCCCAATATCTGCGCTTGAATCCTCATTCTGGATACGAATCTGGTGAGAGACCCTGGGTAAGTTTTTAACCAGTCTGTTCCTCAGGGTCCTTATCTTTAAAGTGGATAAATAATTATACCTGCTTCATAGGGTTGTTATGAAGGTTAAACAAGATTAAAAACATGAGACGCACTCAGACAGCAAGATCTAATAGAACTTTCAGTGATGACGAAATGTTTTCTGGGCTGTCCAATTTGGTGGCCACGTAGAGCTATTAAGCATTTGAAATCGACTCATGAGATGGAGAAACTGAAGTTTTAATTGTTTTTACTTTAGTTGATATTTTAAAAAATTTAAACAGCTCCATGTGACAAGTGTCTGCCTCCTTGGATACTGCAGACTTAGACCAATGCCCGTGAGTAGGAAGTGCTCGGTGAAGGTGAGCTATTGTAAGAAGTGTGGGCCAGGAAGCCTTAACTACTAGAGCCTTCCTCTCAACCTTAGTATTTTGAGTGAAGCCCAGAAAGATAAGTACTTTGTGCAAAGGCACTCAGCCAGAAAGTCTGCTGCGATTGGAGTCTCATCCATAGCTGGAACCACAGGCCTATGGAGAAACCTGAGACCATTTCTGAGTTAGGTCTGAAAGACAGAACACATTGGAGAAACATCAAAAGCCTAGAACTTAAGACAGGAGTGGAAATGACCAGGAGTCGGGTGAAGATGGAGCCAGACTGGGCATGAAGCTCTGGGCCTGTCCTACAGAGGGCAGAAAATGCTATGGGGCATCTGGTCACCACCCTCATTTCCTCTCTCCATTCTTACCCCTTCCTTCTGGAAAGCTACTGGAGAGAGCATGGCAGCGCCAGTGGAAAAAAACCTTTTGTGTCAGGTCTGCAGCGACCTCTTGTGGCCACATGAACAACACTTGCCCTAAGGAGGGAATCTTTATTCGTACTATTATTCTCTATCTATCTATCCATCCATCCATCCATCACCATCCATCCATCCATCCATCCATCCATCCATCCATCCATCCATCCATCCAGGTATTTGTATTTCTTTTTAGCCCTTGCTGTATGTCTAGTCCACCCCTGCCTCCATGAGTTCAGGAAGTGATGTGCACATATTTGGGTGTAGTTTTCGTGGTTCCTATTTTCCCCCATGTTTCCATTATTCTATTTATCACACTGTGTTATATTTATTTTAGTGTCTCTCTATACTTTTAGTATATGACTTCTTCAAAGCCAAGAACTGAATCTAGCTCATCTTTGTGTCTCCAGGCCTAGTACCTAAGTATAATTGTTAGGAATTTTGGAGTCAGAGAAATACAGGTTATAGTCCTGGCTATGCAGCTTACTAGGCAAGGAACCTGGGGCAGTGACTTAATCTCACTAAGCTTCAGGTTCTAAATTTGTAACATGGTAATAACGACATTCAATTTCTAGTATTGTGGGGAGAATTACACTTTTGCACACACTATATCTTGTACATTTGACCCTTCATCTGAAATTGGATTCTTTTGTATCTTCTGAGGAGCCTTATACCACCAATGCTATACTACCCTTTTCTCTCTCATGAATCCAGTCCCCCCATCTCAACTGGATTTTTTCCATAGACGCTTCTGAAAGATGCTAAGGTCTTAAAAACTCTTAACGAAACCAAACCAAGCCAGCAAGCTCACCTTGATTCCACACCCCACTGGGAGCCCCAATTCATAGGCACTCTAGTTGAGAAAGTGGTCTATAGCAGACCTTACCAGTTGGTATTCTGAGACACATTGGTGTATCTCAAATGGCTATAGGTGTTATAAAATATTGATTTCCTTAGCCCTCAGAGCATCTGTGTGGGACTGCACTTCCAGCTGGGAGCAGCCTTGTGCAACTGGCCAATGTCCACTGAGATATAATTTTCTATAAGTTTCACAAAGCAGTAGATTTTGGCAAGCACTGGTGTGTGTTAGCTTACTCCTCACTCATCTTCAACCCATTCCAATTTGGCTTCAGATGTGATTCCTTCACATCTCTGGCCCATCCAATGGATGGGTTTTGTCCTCATTTTGTTTGGGTACATGCTGATGTCATTACTGTGGGTTACTCCCTCCATTTTAAACCACTGTGAAGCAACTGTGTCCTGGTTTTCCTACCATCTCTCCCAGTAACACCTTCCCGTGTTCCTCCGCAGGCTCAGCCTCCCTCCTCTAGCGGCTGTGAAGAAGTTCTTCATCCCCTGGCCCCATGCCCTTTTCTCTTTTCACTTTCCCTTTTAGTGAGAGTATTTCTCTCACTGAGGATGCTCATCTGTGCCATGGTTTAACTTGTTACCTCTGATGCAATAAATCCCAAATGTATCTGTCTAGCCCAAGCCATAAGCCTGAGTTTCAGATATAAGTATCTGACTGCTTACCTGAGAGCTCCATGTGGAGGTCTCAGAAGCTCCTTTTACTCAACTTGTCAAGGCTGAACCCAGCCTCGACCTCCCAACCTGGTCCTTTTCTGTTTCCTACATTATCCAACAGCACCACTAACCCTGATTGTGAGTCTGAGACAGCTTGTCATGACTCTGATTTTCCCCAAAGTGCAAAATAAAGCAGCAACAATGTTCCCATTCACATGACCCTTTAAGATAATAGATACTGTGTATTTGTGGGCACACACATGTGCTTTATGTTTTTCCTGTTTATTATCTCCTGACTGCCTGCCCTCACGGCCAGTCTGGCTAAATCTCGGTCAAGTCTTAGATTTAAAAGTTTATGCCAGGCACAGTGGCTCACGCCTGTAATCTCAGCACTTTGGGAGGCTGAGGCGGGCGGATCACGAGGTCAGGAGATTGAGACCACCCTGGCTAACATGTTGAAACCTTGTCTCTACTAAAAAAAGAACAAAAATTAGCCAGGCGTGGTGGCGGGTGTCTGTAGTCCCAGCTACTCAGGAGGCTGAGGCAGGAGAATGGCGTGAATTCAGGAGGCAGAGCTTGCAGTGAGCTGAGATCGTGCCACTGCACTACAGCCTGGGCAACAGAGCGAGACTCCATCTCAAAAAACAAACAAACAAACAAATAAAAAAAACCAGTTTATTTAACCGTTCCTGCAGAAACATTTTCCTGACCACCATTCCCCACCCAGGCTGAGTTAGGTGCACATACATCCCCTGTCTGAGGATTTAGCACTTTTCCCTGGCACTGTGATTGCCTCTTGTGTGCATTCCCCCAAGAGACTGCAAGCTTTCTGAGGGCAAGGGCCATTTCTGTCTTGCTCTTTGCTGTACCCTCAGTGCCTGGAAGCAGGTGTTCGACACATATGTGTGAGATGGAGACTGCAATAAGGCAGAGGTCTCCTTCTCCCTGCAGTGTGATGGCTGCTAACTGCCTTCTCACCTGCCCTCCTTCAGGTCCTCTTACCCTCTCTTATTCATGAATAAGTAGATTTTAGGGTAAGGTTACTTTACTAAAGGTGGTTGGTTGACTCTGAATTAGCTTAGTATCCAAATAACTCAGCACCTATTACTTTCCTTTGTGGCAGTAGGAGACTATCAATTTCTTTGGAGGGATATCAGTTTAATCCATGCTGTTCCTTTGAATCAGAACTCCACACTCCCTCTACTTCCTTACTTTCAATTTCCTACGTACCCACCCCATTCCTCCTCGCATGTGCCATCGTAGGCAGCATGTTATGTTTTCAGTATGCTTCAGATAAAACATCCTTGACTGGAAGTCTGTGGTTATCAAAAACAGCTTTAGAAATCAGGGAATGGCTCCACAGAAGGAACTGAAAATGACTGGAGGCTCATTTTTGGCTGGAGATTGAGGAAGAAAAGCATATATAATTAAAGTGATAAATTGGATTATTTTGGGTTCTCTGTTTACCACTGTCAAACATTATCTATTTCATGCATTTATATAGAATGCATAAAATAGGTCAGATTTAATTTTCTTCAGTTTGCTTATTTTCTCCTCCAGTTCCTTGGGTAGATGCAGAACCCAGATGGAAATGGGAAGACTATAAAACTTGTGTCTTTAGAGGAGATGGTGGTAAAGGATTTAGTGCATTGGACCCTGGGAGTTGGACACTCACGGGTGAGGGAAAGAGGCTCCTAGGAATGAGCATGGTGTGTGAATCAGACAGGCTTGAGTTAGAATCCTGACTTTGCTGAATGAGGCTGCATGGCTTGGATTCCCTACTCATTCCTCTTCTCAAAGTATTCCTTCCTGCATTCATTCCCTCCACTCTTTCCCACCATCAATTTGTCTCTCCACTGGATTTTTTTCATCTGTATATGGACACGCACAATAACATCCAAAGCAAACTAAACCTCTCCTTTGCCTCACTCATCTTTTTCAGCTTCCTCCCCATCTTTCTCCTCCCTTCCATTTGGGCCAGAAGACTCACCCACACTCACTGTTTCCTCTTCTGCAATCCCTACTCACTCCCTGATAGTGGGTGATCTGGCCTTAGCTCCCATCACTCCACTGAATTGCTTTTGCTAAAGACACAAAGGCTCCTGTGTTGCTGGCTCCAACAGGGGATTCTCGGCCCTCTGCTGACTTGGCCACTCTGCATTTGAACCGTTGACATTTCATGTTCCACTCTGAAATGCTTTTCTGTCTTGGCATGCATCACGTCCCCTCT